CTGGCAGGAACCCGGATAATGGGAAAGGAGATAACAGCAGATGCAGAGAGGCCCTGTGGCAAAGATGGAGGCCTGGCCGGGCACCAGCGCCGACAGCAGAGATGATGAGGAGGGAGCACCCATGCTGGTTTAAATACTGGAGCCAGGCCCTGGCCGGGGGCAGGGTGTGAGGGAGGGGCTGGCAGGAGGGAATCCCTGGGGGGCTATTTCCCCCTCAGGATTCACAGGAGGGAGCCTGAAAAGTAATTTTGTCCTGGACTCTTTGGTGCCTGAAACTGGGGCAAAGGAAAGGGGGGGAGCGGGAGGAGGAAGGGCTGCAGGGTAGGAGAGAGAACATTCTCTGCACCCCTGACTCGGGATTTTGTCCCCAGGGCCCCCAAGTCTTCAACATTGGCTGTCTTCGCTCCAGCCCTGCCCGCTCCCCTGAGGCAGCGGCCCCACCTCACCCCCTTACCTGGCTCTCTGAGATACAAGCCTCATAATAGTCGAGGATGTCTGTCACCAGAACAGAGCTGAGTTACCCTCCCCCACCCCTGCCTCCCGGGCCACCCCTGCCACCATCTCTGGCCTCCTTCTGTCCGGTGAGGGAGGAGCTCCTCCAGCCAGGGCTGCTGGACTTTGATGGGGGACAGTCAGGACGACCGACCCCTGCTTGGACCAAGGGGACCTCCACGCCCCCAACCAGCCCCCAAGTTTGGGCATTGCCCTCACAGGCCCAGGCCAGCCCTTTCCAAACACTGCCCCTCAGATGATTGGGGCTACTCACCCAGCAAGGCCTGGAAGAGGTCACTGTGCAGCACGGTGAGGAGAGGGGGTGCCCACCGCAGTAGTGGGGGGGCCAGGAGCCAGAGGGCTGACCGGGGAGCTGGAGAATAATGGGGGTGGGGTTGGGACAGGGAAGACACAGAGGGACCAAGACATTCACCTTCCCCAGCCTGTGCCTTTTCACCCCAGATTCTATGGGAAGGTTCAGGAGAAGGGTCCCCAAATCCCAGTCCCCGCCCCCACCAGCTCAAGCCCCCAGGCCTTTCGTTTTTCACCTCTGGGTCCCTCGGACATCTCTCTCTTCTGTCACTTTAATCTCCCTAATCCGCAGGGTTGGAGCTGAGCTGCCTTCTCCCCACCCAGTTCCAGCTGTTAGCCTAAGGAGGCAGTCTTATCTCCTCCTGGAACTTCGCACCCTGGCCTCTCTCCCCAGAGCCACGGAGCCATGGATGAGAGTTTGCTACACTTTTCGAGGGAAGGGGACCCCCCCCCCAAGGAGGCTCCAGCCACCCCAAAGGAGAGGAAGCTGAGCCCAGATCTTTCCTTGGGGGGGGGGGGTGTTCCCAGTAAGGATGGCAGAGAGGGGGTATGAGTTACCGAGGACTCCTCGGCCCAGAGCTAGAGAAGTGGGGGCTGGGGGACGTGAGCACCCCTACAGCTCCTCACAGGCTGGGAAGCAACCAGAATGCCAGCCGTCTAGCCTGGGCACATGGTCTCAGGAACAAGGGCAGACAGAGACAGGCATTCAGGAAGGTCTCAGAGGCCCTCAAGGGGAGGCAACGAATTGGCAGAGGGGAGGGGACGGTCCTACGCTGAAAATTCAGGTGTTTCCAAAGTTAGTGACACCTCCTAGGTCTCAGGAGAAATGTGCTTGGGACACTCGCCCTGCAGCTGGAGCCCCCCACCCCACCATGTCCCTGCCTTTCGTGTGGGTGGAGACGGATTTCACAAGGGACCCCAATAGGTCGTCTTTCCGTGCCTCTTCCTCTGGCATCTATCGTAAGCTTCTTCCTTCCCACCTCTCCCTTCCAACTCCACCTGGGAAGTCCTCCTTTCCGTCTACCCTCCATCCCTCTGGCTGCGGTCGCCTAAGCCTCTCCCTCTTCCGTGCCAGCCGGTCCCATCACCCCTCCCACACTCTAGGTGGGACAGGCGGGACGAGGCGTTTGGGGGAGGCGGGGACGTTCGGAGACCGCCCTAGGTCAACCAGAATACAGAGGCCGAGGGCGCGCCGGAACTACAGCTCCCGGCATGCCCCGAGGCCGGAAGCCCCGCCCGCCCACCTCGCGGTGCATTGTGGAGCAAGAGTCAAGACTAGGTGGGGGCGCCCAGACTCGGGCAGACGGGACCGCGGCGCTGGTTCCGCGCTCGAGGCGGCGGCGGCTCGAGCGGTTCGAAGATGCAGGCGGTACGGACGGCCCCGATCGTGGGGCAGCAGCTGCGGAGGTTGGGGGTCGGAAGGTGTGTGTTCGACAGAAGGGACGGAGCGGGGGTGGCCTTGGACCTGGGGACCGAGCCGGGACTGAAACCCCCGCTCCCCCACAGCTCGTGGCCCCGTGCGCTCCTGGGGCAGACCCCGCTCGGCCTGGCCCGGCGACCCTATGCCAGTGGGGCGACTCAGGTGAGTGACGGCGGCCTGGGGCGCGGCGTGTGGGAGTGAGGGTCCGCCTCGGCGTCCCCGTCCCCGCCGCCGGCAGGGGTCTCCCTCTCCACCCTGGTCACCTGCCGCCGAAAGTAGGGGAAAGGTCAGGCCAGGGTGCCCTGGTGATGGAATTGGGGGAAAGGTCGCCTCACCCGCCCGACGCCGCCACCCAGCTGTCCCCCTGGACTCTTCTTGGCATCTCGGAAGCCCCTTCCCGGCCTCGCTAACTAAACGTCTCCCCAGGCGGTTCTGGAGAAGTCAGATCCCCTTTCCCCTGAGGCTTCGACCCAGGAGAAGCAGGCCAAGGCGGTAGGTGGCCCCCAGGCGGGGAGTTGCTAAGCCAGGGGCTCACCCACCGCGGACAGCTCCCTGAAACCCCCTTCTCCCTGCGCAGGAATCGAAGTCCTTTGCAGCCGGGATGTTCCGGGGCCAGCTCACCACCGACCAGGTGTTCCCTTACCCCTCTGGTAAGGGGTAGTCACAGCTGGGTGGGGCAAGGCAGCTTCCCTTGACCGCCTGGGCGGCCTGACCAGCCTGTCCTTCCCCACCCCCACAGTGCTCAACGAGGAGCAGACACAGTTTCTCAAAGAGCTGGTGGGGCCTGTGTCCCGTTTCTTTGAGGTGAGGAGTGACTGGGGCGGGGGAATTGATAGCTTGGTTCCTGATGGGGTGGCAGAGGTGCTCAGCAGTTTAAAAGGAGCTTGGTGGCGTCTGGTGACTCAGTCAATTGGGCCTCCAGCTCTTGGTCTCAGCACTGGTCGTGATGTCTCAGTTCGTGGGTCCTGGCCCTGCCTCAGGCTCTGAGCTACCGGGTAGACCCTGCTTGGGATTCTCTTTCCCGGTCTCTGTCCCTCCCCCCACTTGCTCTCTCTCAACATAAATAAACTTAAGAAAAATTTGGAAAAGAAAAAAAAAGGAGCTTGGATGCATCCTGTGCCCGCCCTCCCCAGGAGGTCAACGATCCTGCCAAGAACGACATGATGGAGAAGGTGGAGGAGACCACTATGCAGGGTCTCAAGGAGCTGGGGGCCTTTGGTCTGCAAGTGCCCAGCGAACTGGGCGGCGTGGGCCTCTGTAACACCCAGGTGAGGGGGATCCCCTCGGTCACTCCCAGCATCCCAGTCTACCCCAGCTTTGCCGTGATTAAGTTCCTTGCTCACCTGTCCCAAGGCTCAGGTCCACCAAATACCTGCCCGTGTTGACCCTCCCAGGATGCACATACCTGTCCCAAACAAATCACCAAACTGGACACAGTCCCTTAGGGCTGTGGACTTCTCCCAGGCTCACAAGTCCTAATGGCAGAGACTGACAATAGGTTAGGAAGCCTCTCTCCCAAGAGCTGGGGAGACACCCGTGTCCCTCTCTATCACGGTGACATTTTGGCTCTCTAGTCACAGTGTGGGCTGCCCAGGTCAGGCCCTGCCTGTGGCCCACACTTCCCTGCTACGGCCCCATGCAGCCAGTAATAGCCCCGGATGCCTGCTTTTCCCCGCAGTACGCCCGCTTAGTGGAGATCGTGGGCACTCATGACCTTGGCGTGGGCATCACCCTGGGGGCTCATCAGAGCATCGGATTCAAAGGCATCCTGCTCTTTGGCACAAAGGCTCAGAAAGAAAAGTACCTCCCCAAACTGGCATCTGGTGAGGCAGCCCCGAGAGACCCAGGGACTGGGGGCATCCTAGGCCAGTGGTACTAAGGTCACCACACAGCTGGGTGGGTCAGTTGGGCAAGATTCTGGGAAGGGATCGGTGTGCTGGTCGGGAAATGTGAAGAAGGTGAACGGGATGCCAGAGATGTTAAGGAGTTGCCTGTGTGTGTGTGTGTGTGTGTTGGGGAGGGAAAGGTGCAGTGAGGGGCCTCTGATGCCCATCAGGACCCCATTTAAAGGCACTGTCTACTTCCAGGGGAGACCATAGCTGCTTTCTGTCTAACCGAGCCCTCCAGTGGGTCGGATGCAGCCTCCATCCGAAGTTCGGCTGTGCCCAGCCCCTGTGGAAAATATTACACCCTCAATGGAAGCAAGATTTGGATCAGGCAATCTTCCCGTTTCTTTCCTCCTGTCCACCTCCACCCAACTCCCGGCCCCCACTGTTCCGTCCTGTCCTCCGCACCCTGACTGGCCCTCCTTTGTCCACAGTAACGGGGGCCTGGCAGATATCTTCACGGTCTTTGCCAAGACACCAGTTACAGATGCAGCCACGGGGGCCGTGAAAGAGAAGATCACAGCTTTTGTGGTGGAAAGGAGCTTTGGAGGTGTTACCCAGTGAGTGGGTTTGGGGAGGAAGGAAAAGGTCAGGCCAGGTTTGGGGGCAGCACAGAGCAGACGGCATCACAGGTCACCCCGGGGACGTGTGCAAAACCCAAAGAGCTAGATGGCATGTTCTCTTTGGGACCAATCTGCACAGAACCAACATAAAGGTCCGGCTCCCGCAACCAGCGAGCCCAGCATCCGGTGGGCTACGTAGCCAGGCATCCTTCCCCTCCGGGCAGGCAGGGACAGTTGCCCGCACCCTCCCACGCCCTTTCCTGGCCGATGTGATTCCTCCTTGGTTGGCAACAAATGCCCCCCCTACCCCCATCCCCGCGACCTGTTGAGCACACCTCTGCCTCTCCACCCCACCCTGTCACAGCGGGCCCCCGGAGAAGAAGATGGGCATCAAGGCCTCGAACACGGCAGAGGTGTACTTTGATGGAGTACGGGTGCCGGCAGAAAACGTGCTGGGCGAGGTAGGGGGTGGCTTCAAGGTCGCCATGCACATTCTCAACAACGGAAGGTTCGGCATGGCCGCGGCCCTTGCAGGCACCATGAAGGGCATCATCGCTAAGGCGGTGAGTACCATGCCTGGACAGAAGTCACACGGTCCCCCTTCCCATGTGGCCCTGTCCCCTTGAGGGTATCCCGTCCCCCCAGAAACCCCTCCCATGCCGGCAGCTCCCAGGCCTGATGGCTCAGGTCTGTGTCCAGCCCAGCCCCTCTGCCGGCG